CTGATAAACTCAGCTTGTCTCCTGCAGAGCAGCTGGTGGATTTTAACCACCAACCCTGCAGTTAGCAGTGCAATGCTTAACTCATTGCACCACCAGGGATCCTTATAGCTGACATAGGGATGAGTCATTTCAGAAATTTGACTCTGTGTACTTTATATGAATATGAATTCTCTTGCCTCTCCTACTTCTTAACTAGCTTTATAATTTGCAGGATTCTGGTCAAGAATCTATGAGTTCTTGTTAAAAAATCATTCATTAAAGGATAGTTTTAAATGGACAAAATTATAAGCTACTTAAAATTTAAGTGACTACTTGCATTGCTTTTTTTTTTATGATTCCCTCAAGTATTTTCTGTTTCCTTTATGAAATGAATTGTATCTGGAAAACTTTTTTTGAAATTTAATTTAATGTTTTAGTAGAATGACAAAGCAGAATATAGTAGGATTTTTGTTGTGATTGCTTTAATACCAATAAAGATGGTAACCCAGGTGCCTGGCATTGTTGTTTTTGGTTTTGTGTGCTGTTGAGTCAGTTCCAATGCATAAGGAGTCTGTATAGGGTTTCTGAGAGTGGTTGGTGGGTTTGAACTGCTATCCTTTCAGTTACCAGTCCAGTTCTTATCCACAGTACCACAGCAGGGCCAGAGTACGAGCCTGTAAATGTGAGGATCGGTCCCTTAGCACAGAGTAGTTGATTCCAGCTCTTTGAAAGGACAAAGCATGAATTTGCAGAGCAAGTAAAAATGACCAAGTATACAAGATTGCAAAACAGTGGCATTTGGCAGGAAGAAGAAGAAAAGGCAGTAATGGATCAGTAAGGAAAGTAAAAAACAGTCAGAGAAATAAAAACGAACCAGAAAAATATTCTACTCAATAATCCAAAGAAATGTGACATCAAAGGATCAAGAAGGATGAGGCCAGGGAAGAAGCCAGTATTAAAATGGCATTTCTGAGCAGAGGGGGAAAGAACAGATCATTCAATAAATGGTGTTAGAATAGTTGACCATTTTGAAAAAAAAATACATCTCAGACCATATGTAAAAATAAGCCATTAACAAGTACTTACAGTGTAAGATACCATAAAGAAAGTTAAGATAGGTAATAAAATGTTAGTAAACATGAAGAAAAAGGATTAATATTTTTAATGTAAGGAGAATTTCTTCAAAGTAATCAGAACAGGAAACCAACACAGTCAAGGAGTGAACACACTTAGTCTCTGAGGAAGAAATGTAAGATGATGCATAAATAAATGAAAAGTGTTTGTTGTTGTTGTTATGTGCCGTGAAGTTGGTTCCAACTCATAGCGACCCCTACATGGTTTCTGAGGCTGTAAATTTTTACCGGAGCACAAAGCCTCATCTTTCTCCTGCGGGACAGCTGGTAGTTTCAAACTGCTGACCTTGCGGTTTGCAGCCCAATTCATAAACCACTATGCTACCAGAGCTCCTTGTATAGATCTATGTAAAAGGATTTATGCCATCATTGATGACAATAATTTAAATACCCACCAGGTAGGAAATGGTTAAATAAGTCTGTGCATTCATATGATAAAATATCAGACAGCCATTCTTTTTTCATTTTTATTTTTAATGAAGTAAATCTGAGTTTTGTCAAAGTCACTAAAGACAGTCAGTCACAGAACTGGGCATGAAGTATAGAGTTCTGTATCGAAGCCATCAAAGATTTGGGGGAAATGCCTGGTTTTCAGTGATATTAATTGATGGGATTAAAAGGGGTGATCAAAGCAAATAGTGAGATTAGTGTTTTGAACCCAGATCTGCCTGCATCAGACTGTTTAGAAGAATTGCTAAATCTGCAGATCAGGGTATCATCACCTTAGACCTGTGGAATTCAAATCTCAGGATGAAACCTGGGAACATTTTTTTTCTTTTTTTTTTGATACACACTTGTCCCAAGATGCATAGGCCCAGGCAGTGAAGTTTAGGAATCACTGGTGTAGACACTGAACTAGAGTTTTTTGACCAGACTTGGGAAGCAAATAGATGCAAGAAGTGTGCTTGTTCCTCATTCTAACATAGCAAATCTAGGGCAGTGGGAAAAGAAACACTCCCGACATCTCTGAAAGAAAAGCGTAAAAGGAAGTTTCTGTTAAGTCAGAAAAGAAAAAAGTTCATGATGGAAAATTCCTGGGCTATTTTTAATGAGATTTTGCTTGGATCCATTATCAACACTCACGCAAACAGCAGCCAAAAAATCAAAACAGTATATTGCATTAGGTAAATCTGCTGCACAAGACCTCTTTAAAAGTGTTCAAGAGCAAAGTTATCAGTTTGAGGACTAAGGTGTGCCTGACCCCAGCCATGATATTTGCTATCATCTCAAATGCACGTGAAAGTTCGACAGTGAATAAAGATGACCATTGAAGAATTGACGCATTTGAGTTATGATATTGGAGATGAATATTTTAAGTACCAGTGACCGCCAGAAGAACAAACAAATCTGTGCTGGAAGAAGTAGAAATCAGAATGGCAAGACTGCATCGCCCATCCTTCAGACATGTTATACCATGTCCCTGGAAAAGGACATAATGTTTGATAAAGTAGAAGGTCAGTAAAAAAGAGGAAAGATCCCTAAAGAGATGGCTTAACACAGTGGCAGCAACAATGGGCTCAAATATAATGACAATTGTGAGGATGGCGGATGGCACAGGACCAGCCGGTGTTTCGTTCTGTTGTACATAGGTCACTAGGATTGGAAACTGACTCAATGGCACCTAACGATTAAAGGTGTTTTTTTTACCCACAATAAAATTATCTTCACAATATCCTTTTACTTTTTGGACAGTGTTCAAAATACTATTTTAATATCAGAACCATACCAACTAAAAGCTTAGCTATGTTTTGTGACCAGGAGCGTAAAGGAGACTTTGTGCTTTCGATGATATTTTTTAAAGGTATCCACAACTTCATCATGGACCCAAATGAGAAGGGTAGAAGCACAGGTAGAAGAAGTATCAGAGGAAGCAAGGCAGAATGTCATGAAGTCCCAAGAAATGGAACACTTTGGGAACAGATGGAGGGTTTGAGAGTCAGCCGAATGGGGCCTAGATGGGCGTCAGTCCAGCTGCCTGGTGAAGAGCAGGGTGCCATAGGGATAGTGTTAGCCTGAGGAGGCTTGAGCTTGGCTGAAGATGACTAGGTGCCGGGGCAAGGATTTGGAAATAAGTGGGAAGTTGGGGATGGGGTGGCAGTTGGAGGGAACACTATTTTTTGAACAGATGATTCAGTTAAGGGGAGAGTCGTGGGAGACAGTTTGCTTGTTTAGTCCTTAGCTAGATTGCCTCTGTAGTTAGAGTGCCCCAAATTCCTTCCATCTCTGAGTTGAAGGCACTGTGTTTTCGCTCATTAGCCCCAACCAGTAACTTGAAGCTTGTGCCTCTTAACTCTCCGTTGACTTGTTCCCACCCACACAGTCACATCTATTAGTGGCTGCTAACTGACATTAAATAACTTTAAATAAAAGTGTGTCCCCTCTGATGAATTTGAATTCTGTAGTGTATTCTGCCTGATTTCTTTACCTCTCTCGGTATTTCTTTCTCTAAAGTCAGAAACCGTTTTTTGTTGTGTGTGTTTTTTTTTTTTAAATACTAATTTCTTGGCAGATTTCAAAAATTTACTAGACTTTTATAGGCATTTGTCATGGTTCTTCTTTAAATTTGTCTTGCTCCCCCTTTCTCCTGTCTGCCCCCCACTACTTTTTTCCAAGGACTTTGCAGTAACTTTTTACATCTCAACTGCTATCTTAAAAAGCTTTGCATATAACATGACTCCAAATCACAGTAAGTGTAAAAAGACATTTTTCACCCTTGACCATTGCATGTGAGGTGAGCAAGCAGTTTCTGAGGTAGTTACATTCAAAGTGTCAGCTGGGGTGCAGATACCATGGGTGCCCAAAGAGAACGCTAGTTGTAACTTTTCAGTCTGGGAGAAGCAAGCCACTATCAGCTTTTTGTGATTAACCAATAACTCTATAGCTAATCTGTGGCGCTGTGGGTTAATGCACAGGACTGCAAAGTCGGTTTGAACCACAAGGTTGGTGGTTCAGGCTCACCAGTTACTCCTTGGAAACCCTATACAGGGTTGCTATGGGTTAGAACTGACTCTACGGAACTTAACAACAACAATCACCTACATACCATTTAGTGTCTTCCTTATCTTTTCTCTCTCATTCTTTGATATGTATATATATGCAATGAATATGGGAATGTTGATAGAGAATTTGGCTATGGTTGCCCAGGATTCTAGAGGTTCCATGTGGATACTGAAGAAAATGTCTTTGTCTAATATCAAGACTAATAATTTGTAATTATTTCTGATATGCTTTCCAAGTTAATACATGTTTTGTTGTTAACATTTGTTTAATAGTTGAACATAGAAAAATGAAATGGTATTGACCATCTTTGGTTTTAGAGAGGAAATGGAATATGAAATTCATTTTCTAGGAGGGAGAAAAAAAAAAAATCTCCCTGGATATTTTATAGATAACCAAATCTGACTTCTTCCAGTGTTGAGAAGTATGGTCTGGGATAGAGGATCCAAAGCTTGCTCTCTTGTGTGTATTTGGGATCTGATAATACATCCTTGTAACAGCCCCAAGAGGTGGCCATGATGTAATAAGGAATAAAGACAAAGGGAGGATAAATGACTTGCCCAAAGTCATCTAATTCAGCTAGACATGAAATAATTTAATTCATATGTCTTTTTATAGACCTCTTCTCTTTTCACCATACCACGCTTTCTCCATAAAAACTTAAAAAGAGACTTTGCTACCAAATAACTGTTTAGTGGTGTTAAGATAACCCTGTACAGGGTCGCTATGAGTTGGAACCGACTCCACGGCACATAACCACCGCCGCCACCACTCTACATATTGAAGAGTGAATTTACTACCTTTATGTATTTATTTATTATTTGATTTAAAAGCATGCAAGTATGTACTCAGTCATATTAAATCTAAGTATTCTGCTTTCTTTTGTTCTAGGTTTTCTATCCTAGCAAGGATGGTACAAAGATACCAATGTTCATTGTGCATAAAAAAGGCATAAAATTGGATGGTTCACATCCTGCTTTCTTATATGGCTATGGTGGCTTCAACATATCTATTACACCCAACTACAGGTAAGCACAGAACTCTTTTGCAACCTCAACATTTGATCTTCTCTATAGAGTAGGGAAAAAAGCAACAACAGGCTTCTCTACACAATCATGTTTTTCTAATGTCCTTACTTCCTGCTTGTTGTTTTTGTAGAGGGGCAAGATTATATGTTATCTTGGGTAGCACTGTAGGATAAGCACTAGCCTACTAACTGTAAGGTAGCAGTTCAAACCCACCAGCCACTCCTCACAAACCATATACAAGGCTACTGTGAGTCGTAACTGACTTGATGGAACTCAGCAACACCAACAACAGCCTGGATTTTTGGTTAGGAATTGTGGGTCACTACAAGCTAATAGTGTAATAGCTGGTTGGAAATTAGATGCTGAAGTTATAGCTTGCCTGGCTACAGAAGGTTGGTGTCATTTCAGGTCTTTAAGTTAGGAAGTTCTACTTTCATTGTTTTAGCATTTGTCACCACCAGAATGTCCTTAGTCTTCTCTTCAAAGGGAATGCTTTTCAGTTCATGTGATGATTTTTTGTTTAACAGTATAGAATCATAAAATAGACTTTTATATTGATCCTTAAATATATATTTTGCACGTTCTGTTGTTCAGCCCATTTTAAATGGTTCTCTGCTTATTGTTTCTGTGATGCTTTCCCAGATAACATGTTCTTTTGGTTTTTTGTGTTTTGTTTTTAAAGCTTTAATTGTGAATTAAAAGATAGTTTACATGGGAGAACATTGGTTTTGCACTCATCCTATCATGTTTTGTTTCATTACAATGATTACAGTCCCCTCTATGCATCATCATTTAACAGTATTTGCTTCTGTTCCCTCTGTTTTGTTGTCGTCTTTTGATGTACACAAAGTCAGTCAGAAATCATTTAAACAACCAAAGGGCACATTGTGCAAGCCAGCTTCCGTTGTCTTTCAGTTAATCTAGAGTCCTCAGCTCCTCTGTCTCTCCATGTCATAACTTCTGCCTCCACCTCTGCAGATAACATGTTCTTGGAGGGAAAAAATAAAATAAAAACTGCATTTATACATTTGCTATTGTTTATGTAAGTTTCTAAAAGGAACTCACTAGCACAAAGGTTAAGCACTTGAGGCTAGCCCAAAAGGTAAAAAGACCTGGATCTGCTCCGGTAAAAATCATAGCCTAGAAAACCCTATGGAGCAATTCTGTTGTTAGGTGCCAACGAGTCAGTTCCGACTCATAATGACACTATGCACAGCAGAACGAAACACTGCTCAGTGGGTCCTACACCATCCTCACAATTGTTGTTACACTTAAGTCCATTGTTGATGCCACTGTGCAAATCCATCTCACTGGGGCTCTTCTTTTTCTCTGACCCTCCACTTTGCCAAGCTTGATATCCTTCTCCCTCCTGACAACATGTCCCGAGTATGAGAGACGAAGTCTTGCCATCCTGGCGACTAAGGACCATTCTGGCTGTACTTCCAACATAGATTTGTTTGTTCTTCTGGCAGCCCATGGTACTCTCAGTATTCTTCTTCAAAACCATAACTCAAATGCATCAATTCTTCTAGGTCTTCCTTATTCATTCTCCAACTTTCACATGCCTATGAGGCAATTGAAAATACCATGGCTTGAATTAGGCACACCTTAGTCCTCAAACTGGCTTCTTTGCTCTTGAACACTTTAAAGCAGTCTTATGCCACAGATTTGTGTAATACAATTCGATATTTGATTTCTTGGCTGCTGCTTCCATGAGTGTTGATTGTGGATCCAAGTAAAATGAAGTCTTTGACAACGTCAGTCTTTTCTCCATTTATTGTTGCTGTTAGGTGCCCTTGAGTCAGTACTGACTCATAGCAACCTTATGCACAAGAGAATGAAATGCTGCCCAGTCCTGCACCTACCTCACAGTCGTTGCTACATTTGAGCCCATCTCTGCTGCTACTGTGCCCATCTCATTGGGGGTCTTCCTCTTTTTCTCTAACCCTCCATTTTACCAAACATGATATCCTCCTGTCAATGTGTCTGAAGTATGAAATACTAAGTGGCCATCCTGGCTTCCAGGGAGCATTCTGATTATACTTCTTCCAACACAGATTGGTTTGTTCTTTTGGCAGTCCATGGTACTTTTACTTTCAATATTCTCCTCCAACACCATAGCTCAAATGTATCAAATCTTCTGTGGTCTTCCTTATTCACTGTCCAACTTTCACATGCATTTATTATAACATGAGATTACTGAAAATACCATGGCTGGGGTCAGGCATGCCTTAGTCCTGAAACTGACATCTTTGCTCTTGAACATTTTAAAGAGGTCTTGTGCAGCAGATTGTTGCCCTAATGCAGTACTTCATTTGATTTCTTCACTGCCGCTTCCTTGAGTGTTGATGGTTGATCCGAGCAAAATAAAGTCTTTGACAATTTCATTCTTTTCTTGATTTATTGTAATGTTATTTACTGATCCATTGGTGAGAATTTTTGTTTTTTTTACATTGAAGTGCAACCCATATAGAAGGCTGTCATCTTAGATCTTCATCAGTATTTTAAGTCCTCTTTGCTTTCAGCCAGCAAGGTTGTATCATCTGTATATCACAGGTTGTTGATGAGTCTTCCTCCTATTCTGATACCATGTTTTCATGTAATCCAGCTTCCTAGATTATTTGCTCAGCATACAGATTGAGTAGGTATGGTGAAAGAATACAATCCTGGCACACACCTCTCCTAATTTAAAACTATTCAGTGTCCCACTGTTCTATTTGAACAACTGCCTCTTGGTCTATGTATAGGTTCCACATTAGCACAATTAAAGTGTTCCAGAATACTCATTCTCCACATTGTTGTTCATTTATTGCTCTGGTGCGGATTTTTGTTTTCTTTATATTGAGGTATCCATACTGAAGGGTGTCGTATTTGATCTTCATCAGTAAGTGTTTTAAGTCCTCTTCACTTTCAGCTGGCGAGGTTGTATCATCTGCGTATCACGAATTGTTATTGAGTTGTCCTCCAATCCTGATGCCACGTTGTCCTTCATATAACCCATTTTCTCAGATTATTTGTTCAGTGTACAGATCAGATAAGTATGGTGAAAGAATGTCATCCTGGTGCACAACCTTTTCTGCTTTCAACTATTCATTATACCCTTACTCTGTTCAAACAACTGTTTCTTAGTTTATATACAGATTCCTCATAGACATAATCAAATCTCCTGGAATACCCATTCTTCACAGTGTTATCCACAGTTTCGCGTAATCCACACAGTCAAAAGCCTTTGATTAGTCAGTAAATCACAGCTAAACATCTTTCTAGTATACTCTGTTTCCTGCCAGTATCCATCTGACATCATCCCTCCTTCCACATCCTTTTCTGAATCTGGCTTGAGTTTCTGGCAGTTCTCTATCAATGTACTCTTTTTTTTTTTTTTTAAATCAATGTACTCTTATAGCCATTTTTAAATTATCATCTTCAAAATTTTACTTGCACGTAATATTAATGATACTGTTTGATGTTTTCCACATTCTGTTGGGTCACCTCTCTTTGTAATGGGCACTAATATAGATCACGTCCAATCAGTTGGCCAGGTTTCTTGGCATAGATGAGTGAGTGCCTCCAGTGCTGCATGAATTTGTTGAAAGATTTCCATTTGTATTCCATCAATTCTTGGAGCCTTGTTTTTTGCTAATAACTTCAGTATAGCTTGGACCTCTTCTAGTACCATTGGTTCTTGATCATATGCTTTCTCTTGAAATGGTTGAACATCAGCCATTAATTTTTGGTACAGTGCCTCCATGTTTACTTTCTGTCGTCTTTGGATACTTTTGCATCATTCAATATTTAGCCCTTAGAGTCCTTCATTATTGCAAATAGAGGCTTGAATTTTTTTTCTTCCGTTTTTTTTCAGGTTAAGAAATGCTGAGGCTGGTTTTTTCCTTTTGATTTTTTAACTATAGATCTTTGCACAATCTCCCCTTGGAAATACTCTGTTCAACTCTTTTGATTCCTCATTTCTTCCATTCACTTTAGCATCTCTACCCTGGAAAGCAAAAGTCTCTGCTGACATCCACTTTGGTCTTTTCTTTCTTTCCTGTTGCTTTCCGCACAGATGTGTTCTTGATGTCATCCGACCACTCTTCTGGTCTTCAGACTTAGTGTCTAATGCATCAAAAAGGTGTCTATGGAGCAATTCTACTCTGTCGTACTAATCCCGCTGAGTCAGAATCAACTCAAGGTCATACAACAACATAGAAAAATTTGTCAATTTTCTGCAAGCATTATTTTAACATAAAATTTCTAGTATAAAATGGAATTTGCTTTGAATATTCTTAATATAAGGAGTCCTAGTGTGGTGTTATAGGATAAGCACTGGACTGCCAACTGTTAGTTAGGTCAGCTGTCAAACTACCAGCCATAACTTGGAAGCTCTATAGAAGTAACAACAACAACATTCTTAATAAAGACAAGAAATTTCCTGTTAGGAAGACCATATATACATACGGGAATGTTGTTAGTAAGTTGGTTCCGACTCATAACAGCCCTGTGTAGGATTTCCGAGGAACAGCTCATGGGTTTGAACGGCCAACCTTGAAGCTGAAACTGAACTTACAGTCCAGTGCATTATCCTGCAGTGCCACACCAGTACTCCACATATGTGGGTAGGGGATTCCTGTTCAGATGATGTTACATACATGTGACGTGTATGGGGAATTCGTTGTTTGTTTGTTTTTTTAAAGATGAAGGGGTAGTACATATTCCTTACTAGGCATATACAGGCAATAAATGAAAAGTTAACTGTTTTAACTGTTTCTCAGTGTGTCCAGGCTGATTTTCGTGAGGCATTTGGGTGGCGTCCTTGCAGTGGCCAACATCAGAGGAGGTGGCGAATATGGAGAGACGTGGCATAAAGGTGAGGTATTATCTCTACAGAAACACAAATCTGATGTCATCAGACCAGGGTTATGCTCAGCCTTTCTCTTTGAATGAGGTGAGGAGACTTTGGAGAACCAAAGCATTTGGGTTGACATAAAGTCAGGATATTTATAAGCACATTGCTGATATGAACAAAAAACCACTCAGTCTTTCCATATTTTATTTTCTCTCGTAATCTGTTTGTTGTTACATAATAACCTTTTCAAAGCTTTTCCAATAGACCATACTCAAAATTATTTTCTTTGAACAATGTTTGGGGTAACTTTTTATCTGTCACTGTCAGAAGTGAGTCTTGGAGGCCTTTTGGCTTGCTTTGTGTTGTCTTCTGTTAGCATTGCTTTTATAGTGCAGTTACTTGGTTATCTCTACAGACTACAAAACAGAGTGGCTATCCTTGTGCTTGTTTTCTCTGATCTTTCCAACATTGCTGAGAAATAGCCCCCTCCAGCATTACTGCTATGCTTATCATGTTGTTTCAGACATAAGAGCTAAGTCATTCTTCTTTTCTGACTTTAATAATCCCATCTCCTTTCGCGGGTCTCCTGAATCCTGAATCTAGCTGATTGAGGCTCTTGCTTCGGCTCTCAACCTCACACCCCAGATTATCACAATTTCATTAAAATGATCATTATTTCTAAAACACTTAGTCTCTTCTATTTGTTTCTATGTGATGCACACCCCTCCCCCAGGTTTTCGTGTGTCTGGTGATTTTCCGCAGGTGATGATCTTCACTTGCCTTCATCTGTGTCCTTGGGGTAGATATGGGACTGCATCTTCACTTCCGCCAGCCGCACACGCTTCTCTTCTCTCTCTACATCAGTCAGCAACTTAGGATATGAAAAGTCCCATCATGGTGAAAGTGCTTGAGGCTGGTCAGCACTACCAGGCAAGAGTGGCATCAGAGACCACCCTTTAACTCTCCGCATCCACCTGCTCTTCTCTGCCCTCCCAAACTGAGCCCTCAAACTCTGGTTTTCTGCATCTAACAAATCCGCCAAGATAAGGGTAGGGCTGTAAAGAACTTTTTCATAAATCTATTAAGTATCAAGATACAGGAAAGGCATGACCCAGTATGCATCCCAAGGGGTGACATCAAACTTGATGTCAAACTTTAATGAATAGGTATGATCAGGCCCTTGGCCTGCCTGCCATTATTGGATCAACTGTTGCCCAGAGTTATGCCCAGAGACTTTATTGTCATTGAAATTGCCTAGAATTCATTGTAAATTTTGCCCAGTATTAAAGTTTAATTAATTGCCTTAAAATCATATTGTGGAATGAAGATATTAAAAGATGACTGATGAAAGGAGAATAAAAAAGAATAAAGTCTCTGCATCTCATCTGTTTGAAATACATTCCAAATTCATATACTAAATCTGGATCCCTTCATCATACTTTCCAATCAAGATTGCCAGTGGTACATGTCCTGAAACACATGCCCATAGGCTATGACCCTTTCCTGAAAAAACCTGGATTCTTCATACACCCTTTCTGATCATTATGTTCCCACCCTGTTCTGACAAAGGAAGGCCTTTAGTCTTGGGCAACTCTCATTCTCTAATATTTATAATATTAATTGTTGTTATTAAGTGCTGTCAAGTCAACTCCGACCCATAGTGACCCTGTATAGGGTTTCCAAGGAGCAGCTGGTGAGCTTGAACCTCCAACCTTGCAGTTCAAATGGCTTTGCAGTCTGGCTCATTAACCCACAGCACCACACCAGGACTCCTGGTTAATCTAATTCATTCTATTAAGTAGAACCAACTTATTGTCCAAAAATCAAGGTGACAGGGATGGCCAATGGGTTTAAAGCTTTACTCAGACTAAAAATAGACTGTCCAAGTTTAGACTTGTTAAATATTAGAGACTATTAGGAATATTCTCGAAAGTTAGCAGTGATGGAGAATCCAGATATTAACCCAACCAGTTACAGCCAAATGATTTTTGACAAAGTGCCTAGGCACATTGCACGGGGAAGAGACAGTCTCTTTAACAAATGGTGCTGGCAGAACTGGAAAGAGATATGTAAAAGACTGAGACAAGACCTTCGCCTCACACCCTATACAAAAATGAACTCAACATGGATTAAAGATCTAAATATGAATCCTAAAATTATGAAGATCATCAATGAAAAAATAGGGACGAACGTGAGGGCGCTAATTCAGGGAATATTCAGACTGCCACACATTTTGAAAAATACACAAACAAAAATAGACAAAATAGACAAGTGGGACATATTAAAATTAACTTGTGTGCATCAAAAGACTTCACCAAGAGAGTAAAAAGGGAGCCCACAGACTGGGAAAAAATCTTCTGCAACGACATTTCAGATAAGGGACTCATCTCTAAAATATATAGGAAATTACTACACATCTACAAAAATAAGACAAATAACCCAATCAAAAAATGGGCACAGGATATGAACAGACACTTCACCAGGGAGGAGCTCTGGGTAGCCAACAAACATGAAGAAATGTTCACGATCACTAGCCATTAGAGAGATGCAAATCAAAACAACAATGAGATACCATCTCACACCAGCAATAAAAGCAAAGAGTAAAAGAGTTGAGGACAATAAATGCTGGCAGGGATGTGGAGAGACTGGGACACTCCTGCATTGCTGGTGGGACTAAAAAATGGTCCAACCTCTCTGGAAAACAATATGGCACTTCCTCAGAAGGTTGAAAATAGAAATACCATTCGATCCAGCAATTCCTCTACTGGGTATTTACCCACAAGAGAAACGAGCCACAACATGGGAAATTATATGCAAACCTATGTTCATAGCTGCACTTTTTATAATAGCAAAAAGTTGGAGCCAGCCAAAGTACCCATCAACTGAAGAATGGATAAACAAGCTGTGGTACATACACACAATGGAGTATTATGCTACCTTGAAAAATAACAAGGAAGCTGCATGCCACTTCCTAACATGGATGAACCTTAAGGGCATTATGTTGAGTGAAATCAGTCAGTCACAAAAGGAAAAATACTGCATAGGACCACTAATGTAAAAGACTAAGAAAAAGAACCCATACTAATCCACTAAAGTGGATTCCTAGTTGGTTAGTAGGATGTAGGGGTAGGGATAGGGGTGGGAGGGAAAGGTGGATCACAGGGCAGGGAATAGACACAGGATAATTTGGGTATTGGGTAGGGGGGCAAGATACAAGTAAGGAGAGGGGAATTGAAGAACAAAGCAGATGGGAGAACAATTAGACAGGTATGAATGGGCTAAATGGGACAGAGGTAAAAAACGATGTAGGCACAGCTTTGGAACAACAGGGCTCTGGAATACAGAGACTGAGACATGGATGGAATGGGGAAAAGGGGGGGAATAATGTTAAGATGCTTGGCTGTCTTTTGAATCATGGTTTTCCTTGCAATATATTATAAAACAGACACTGGAGAGGGAGAGAAAGGAATAACCAGAAATGTCAACGTGGAAAGCTTGTAAGCCCATCTTCTGCCTATAACTGATTGGAATACCTAAAATGGGGCTACAATGTGTCCAGTGAAGGAGGTTTCCTGAGGAGCCTCTGCATTACATGGGAGTATAGGTGGAAGCCCAAACTACATCCAGACCTTCAGGGACAGGACATTTCCCACTTAAAAAGACAAGCACACCAGCCGGGAGCAGCTAGAAAACCAGAAGATACTTCCTGAAAGAAGGAGCTACAGGAAAAATACAAAACAGTAAGGACAGTCCGACTGTTATCACAAGAACATACAGGTTGCTTGCCCAGAAGACATCAAAGCAAGTGGTTGGGTCCTCTCAGTGCAAATTCTCTTCCAAGACTAAGACGCAAGGGAAATAAACGCTTTGATTGGCAACCACACATGTCACCCAGAAGGTGAAGTGTTATCAGGACTGATTATGAGGGTCAGAAATCTAAAGGTGGACATTTTGTAGCAAGGAGGGGAGTGATTAACTTTTCAGTCTAGGAGCGGAGGACCCTAGGACCATCAATGGAGAAAAGCGGAGAGCGGGATCCTACCCAGAGAAGCAGTGAGGCCTGAGATGGAGGCAGAGAAGTCGACGTCAAGAGATGGAGTGGCTGGGGACTTGGGATCCGGAGAGGGAAAGGGGCTGAGGACTGTCGGGGGCTGGTGGGAGGGGTGCAGTTTTACAGGGTACACCCTTTGATTGGGTGAGGATGCATGGACGGGGTGGTAACTATGCCAATGAAATGATAGATGATAGAATGAATGTAAAATTAATGTTCTCCCATGTAGACTATCACACAATTCACAATAAAATATTTATTTAAAAAAAAAAAAAGCAGTGAATGGGTTGGAAGTGCACCATTTCTAGTCAACTATATTGAACATTGATACATCTAAATTCCATTCTGCTAATAGAGTTTAAAGTTTAATGCTCTTTAAAATATATAGTCATTGCCCCAACATGATATTATTCCTAGAAACTAAGTAAGCCTAGCTGTTCTAATTCACCAATAATTTCTTATTAAAACCTTAATAACATTTGTTTTCATATGAAAAAATTCTTCAGTAGCTCTACTTCATCTTTAATTGAATTTCTGCAGAAGTAGTTAATATCAAATATCTAATTAGATCAATCTGCTTTTTGTTCATTCCAAAGGCAGTTAGTTCAGACATCTGCGCCTTTGAGAGCTTGCCTTTGACTTTGGCCTCTATCCAGAGCAGAGATTTAGATACCCCAAGACGGTATAAACATTTCTCCACTACGGTTATTTCTGTGGTTTGGTACATTGGGGTGACTTACAGATGGTAAAGCCCAGTTCTCTGGAGAGGTGCTTGAGTCTTTCATTCAACAATGGAGAACCTGTCATAGTTTGCTACAGCACTGCCTCACTCCAATTCTTGCTCACGCTTGAAAGTAGCACCCAAAGGCAAACTTGTAGAAATGTATCTTCATCACTTGCCTATTTCAGACTTCTGCAAAATGAAGGACAACCAGTGTGCCCAAAGGGGCTTTCATCTTCCCAGAGAAGGAAGCCTGCCCTCCACCCTCCACCCACCTTCAGCTCCACCTTGTGTGCCAGAGTACAGGGCACTACTGAAGCTTTGATTTAATTCATTTTCTTAAAAATAGAGATTCTTCATGATTACATGCTTTCATACATTCATTCTCATGCTTCTTTCTCTGTCTGAACTAGTCTTCTGTTCCGCCTTTGGGACATTTGCCTTTTAAGTTTTAGGGACTTAGAAAAATACAAATCCAGCCTATGGATTAGAATGGATGTTTGAATGATGGATGTACACAAAATATATGTATGTAATGATGGATGTACACAAAATATAACAGAATTTAAATGGCGGCATCTGTAAATGTGTGGGGTTTTTTTAAGTGCCATGGAGCTAATAAGTTGTTTTTAAGTAGGTTTAGGGTTATCAATAGTTAAACTGTGCCCTACCATAATCTGAACTCTGTTTAGTTTCAACAGTTATGTTTTTATTTACTTTTAATTGATTCTCTTTCATCTTGGCTCCTCATAGGTGGCATCTTGGCCAACAAACAAAACTGCTTTGATGACTTCCAATGTGCTGCCGAATATCTTATAAAGGAAAGCTACACGTCTCCCAAAAGACTGACGATTAATGGAGGTTCAAATGGAGGCCTGTTAGTGGGTGAGAATTGGCTTTTATTCATGGTACTTACTAATTAACCCTACATGGTGCTGTCTATACGTAACGTGATGGACTGAACTCCGGGATGGCAGAAGTAGTGCAAAGGAAGCAAAACCCATTTATACTTAGACCTCCAATAAATGATATTTAAAGTCACTGAATCCATATCATACTAACTTGACTGAAAAGCTATCCCTGTCTGGCCTTGCCTCCTGCTCTGAACTCTTCTCCTGCCATGCTGTGGGCTGGACTGTGATTCTTTCCCACTGGGCAGGCTCCCTCTCCCCACAAACTGAACCCACAGGTGCCCAAGGTTCAGCCAGCCCTGAATCTGATCATCTTCCTGATTATGTTATTGAGAGTTTGATGATGTGCTCATCACTGAGCAGTTGTTGAATACCTGTATGTTGAATACCTGTAATGTTGAAGTGACTACAGAGGAATAAGCCATGAAGGAATATGATGTATACACAAAGGTAGACCATTCACAACTCAGTAGCTATGAAGTGGTTCACAGGAATGGTTCACATGTGCTGAGCACACTGTATGCCAGTGCTAAGCCCTGGACACATGCTCTCTTACTTGACATGCTACTGCACATGGTCTTATTTAGAGAGGAAGAAACGAGTACAGGGAAGTTGAGTAGCTTGTCCACTGTCACACAACTAGGAAATGGTAGTGCTAGGGATTGAGCGTACCATTGTGACTTTAGATACTGCCCTTTATAACTCACTGTGGTATTGCCTCTAAGCAACTTTTCCTCATTTTTTTATCATTAAGTTTTGCTTTCCTCTTTGCCTTTTATTAGCACAATATTATAATGAACATTTATGGTGACCCTAAGCTTTGCTTGCTGGTCCTACGTCCAGTGTCACTAGTGTCTGTTGTTGTTGTTAAGTGCTGTTGAACCGGTTCCAACTCATAGCTACTCTATATTGGGTTTCCTAGGAGTAGCTGGTAGTTTTGAACCACCAACCTTTCAGTTAGCAGTTCAGTGCTTGCCCTACAGCTTTGCCAGGATTCCAGGATCTATTGCATATGTGTAGAATAGCATGTATAATTCAGTTTAAAATTTATTAGTTTACCTCCTTTACATTATACCTTGAATAAACATTTTCTGATGAAGGTAAAATACAAAGAGCCAATAAAATTTGTACAGGGTGTTGATAAAATTCTAAAATATCAAATAATAATGTATTTGATCCATTCATTCAACATTCATTCATTGAGTACATCGATCTCCAAGGATTTGGCTCAGGATTTAGTATTAATAATTACTGAGATCAGAATTAGGGATGGGAACCAGGTTTTTGGCTCGACACATCACAAAGCCTTTGTTACTTCCTCACAAAGCCTCCCTTACATTGGGTTGTGTGCACCTATACTCATTTTATATAGTGCCTGAACTTTGTCAGCAACACTGATTACCACACTCTTTTGTCATTGCCTGTTCATATCTTCATCTGTTACACTAAATTCAGTCTTTATTCACTAATATATCCCCAGGTTTCATGCTTGGCACATAAATATTTGTTGAATGATCGGAAAAAGATTTAAGTATATGAAGAAGATAAATTTACAACAGAACAAGATGGTGTGCCAATATTGTTAAGAGCATTGAACTGGGTTTTAGACCCTGTTCTTTGTTCTGGCTTTGAAACTTGCTCCCAGAGTAGAGATGCTAAAGCAAATGGGGAAAAATGAGGAGGTAAAAGAGCTGAACAGAAAATTTCAGAGGGCAGCTCAAGAAGACAAAGTCAAATATTATAATGAAATATGCAAAAACCTGGAGTCAGAAAACCAAAAGATAAAAACATGCTCAGCATTTCTCAAGTCGAAAGAATTAAAGAAAAAGTTCGGGCCTCAACTTGAAATATTGAAGGATTCTCTGGGCTAAATACTGAATGACGCAGAAAGCACCATAAGAAGATGTAAAGTATATACAGAGTGCCTGTACCAAAAAAGAAATGGTAACTGTTCAACCATTTCAAGAGGTAACATATGATCAAGAGTCAATGGTACTGAAGGAAAAAGTCTAACATTCATGAAGGCATTGACAAAGGACAAACCTTTGGGAATTGATGAAATACAAATTGAAATCTTTCAATAAACTGATGCAGCCTTGGAGGCACTCACTCATCTTGGAAGAGAGCCATATTTGTGCCCATTCCAAAGAGAGGTAACCCAACAGAATGTGGAAATCATAGGACAGTATCATTAACATAACATGCAAGTAAAGTTTTTGCTGCAGGCAATTTAAACATGAAAACAATGATATATGACAGAAAGCTGCTAGAAGTTCAAGCCGGATTCAGACAAAGATGTCAGATGGATCTTGGCTGGAAGCAGAAAGCAGAGAATACAAGAAAGGTGTTTGCCTACACTTTATTGACTGCACAGACTTTTAGTTGTGTGGATCATGACAAGCTATGGACAACATTTGGGAAATGAGTATATCAGAACACTTAATTGTGCTCATGAGGAACCTGTATATAGATCGATAGACAGTCAAAATAAAGGGACACTGAGTGGTTTAAAATTCGGAAAGGTATGTGCTGAGGTTGTATTCTTTCATCATATTTATTCAATTTGTATGCTGAGCAAATCTTCCTAGACTGGATTATATGAAGAAGAACATGGCATCAGGATTGGTGGAAGACTCATCAACAACCTTAGATATACAGATGATACAAGCTTGCTTGCTGAAAGTGAAGAGGACTTAAAATACTTACTGATGTAGATCAAAGACCACAGCCTTCGGTATGGGTTGTACTTCAATGTAAAGAAAACAAAAATCCTTAACCCTGGACCAAATAAATAATACTCACATGAATGGAGAAAAGATAGAAGTTGTCAATTTTTTTTCATTTTGTTTAGATCAACTATCAACACTCATGGAAGCAGCTGTCAAGAAATCAAATGACGTATTGCATTAGGCAAATCTGCTGCACAAGACTTCTTTAAAGTGTTGAAGAGCAAAGATGTCAGTTTGAGAACTAGGGTGTACCTGATCCAAGTCATGGTATTTTCAATAACCTCATATGCATGTGAAAGTTGGACAGTGAATAAGGAAGACCATAAAAGAATTGATACGTTTGAGTTACGGTGTTGGAGAAGAGTATTAAAATCACCATGAACTGCCAGAAAAACAAACAATTTTTGTCTGTTTGTGTTGGAAGAAGTGCAACCAGACTGCTTACTGGAAACCAGAATGGCCAGACTTCTTCTCTGATACTTCAGCCATATTATCAGGAGGGACCCCCTGAAGGAAGACATCATATTCGGTAAAGTGGAGGGTCAGTGATAAAGAGGAAGATGCCCAATGAGGTGGATTGACACAGTGGCAGCAGCAATGGGCTCAAGCGTAGGAGCAACTGTGAGATTGGCACAGGCCCAGGTAATGTTTTTAGTTCTGTTGTGCATGAGGGCACTGTGAGTTGGTACCAGCTTGACAGCACTTAACAGCAACTGCCTTTGACTGGTACTAAGATCTTGAACAAATCCCTTAACCTCCCTCATCTCCTATGAACTCAATGTAGGATAGGAATAAGGGGCACAGGTTTTTCAGAAAGGCCTTGTAGCTTTTCAGATAGCATTCACCTATTGAGATTCACTTTAGATATGAATAAGTCCCCATCATTGATGAGACTATCCAAACCTTGAAAGATACTGGAGGGGTTGATAAAAGCATGTGAACCATTGGACAGATGATTGTAATGGTTTCTTCTTACTTTAAGAAAAAGGGCAACTGAGGTTCTGAAAACATTTAGGTATATTTTGTTTAGTTTTATATACGTGTCTAATGGTGGACCACCTTTGTGTGTCTCTTTTCTGTCTTGGTTTTTAGCTGCATGTGCAAATCAGCGTCCTGACCTCTTTGGTTGTGTTATTGCTCAAGTGGGAGTAATGGACATGTTGAAGTTCCATAAGTACACCATCGGCCATGCTTGGACCACCGATTATGGGTGCTCAGACAGCAAACAACACTTTGATTGGCTCATCAAGTAAGATCTTAATTCCTATTAGTGTATGTATGTTGTTATTTGATAATATTGAATACATTCAATAGGATAAATGTTTGATTCTTTGTCCCATTCAGTGTCTCCTATTTTTATATAATTTACTGCAAGGGTAAGAAAAGTGATAGAGACACTTCTCTGTCTTCCTTGCTTTAATTTGGTCTTTAAGTGGGGAAAAAAATTTAAGTTAAAACTAAACTACAAAGATAGGATAAAAAAAAGTCTAAAGATATTAGAAATTAAGGTTACTAATGGCCTGACCTTAAAGAGATTATCCAGGATTATCTAAGTCCCATGAGCCCTTAAAGGCAGAGGAGTTGACCCTCCATTGCTGGCTTTGCAGATGGAGGAAGGGACCTCTAGAAGTTGAGTACAATCCTCAGTTGACAATTACCAGAAAAATAGAACCTCAGTCCTACTGCCACATGAAATGGAATTCTGACAGCAACCTAAATAAGTCTGGAAGCAGATGCTTCCCAGTTTCCTGACAGAAAACAACCAATACCATCATTTCTGCCCTTTGATATTCAGAGCAGAAAGCTTAGCCAAGCCAACCCAGACTTCTGAATTACAGAGCCGCTAGATGGTAGGTCTGTGTTGTTTTAAGCTGAAAACTTTGTAGTAGTTTGTTATGAAAGCAGTCAGAAATTATTACCAGATACACTGCAATGGATTGACGCTCACAATCCAAATCATCTTCAGTATGCAGCTTCTGCAAAAAGGCCAGACTATGATTTGAAATCACCCTCTGGAATAGTATCTAATGTTTATAGCTCTTGCCAATCCCCTTGTTTCACTAGAGATTTGTTGTTAAAGCGCCGTGCAGTTGGTTCCAACTCATAGTGACCCTGTATAAGGTGTCCAGGGTTGTAAATCTCTTTGGGAGCAGAAAGCCTCATCTTTCTCCCAAGGAGTGGCTGGTAAGCTCAAACTGTGGACTTTATGGTTAGCAGTCCAGTGCTTACCCTGCAGAGCCACTGTGTTCACTTACTAGAGACTATGAAAGGATAAGCGTTACCTCATTTGTTAAAGAATAAAAAAAAAATTATGGTCCTGTTCTTAAAGTTACAGCCTTGTCTTACTTATTAAATCTTCAAGAAATCAGGAATCCTAATAGTAAGGAGAACTGCTGGTGTGGCAGTGTAAGATCAGCCTGGACTGCAGACCACAAGGTCGGAAGTTCAAAACCACAAGCTACTCTTCAGAAACCCTATACAGGGTCACTATGAGTCAGAATCGACTCTACGACACTTCTTATAACAGCGATCGTGAGAGTGGAGAATATATATATAATACTTCTTTTTCTAAATAAAGAAAAATAAAAACATGCAAGCACAATTAAACTTATCTTACCTTCTGAGTATAAGCATATATACTTGAAATTACAAATTGTGTTACTGAAGTACCGTATAGCATACCTCATTCATATGCTTCAACCACTTTGGTGATAACAGTGAGAAAAGGGCAGACCTTTAGATCCTCTTACCTGCTGTATATGGTACAAGTAGATGGCTCTGAAGTGAGCAAGAAGTATATGGTACAAGTAGATGGCCCTGAAGTGAGATCTAGAAAGGGCCTAGCAGGGAGCTGCTGGTGTCCAGCACCCCCAAATTAGGCCTAAGAAGCACCATCCTGAATCTTAAAATGGGTCCCCCCAAAACAGAGCTGGATTTGCAAGTTGCGAATTGGCTGGGTTAAATAAAACCTAACATTTCTTTTCTACAGACGTCTCAGAATATTTAATGTCTTAATGTAACACATGAATCTCTAAGGAGAAGAGTGTTATTCATAGTCAGAGTTCTCCAAACTTGTTTCACCGAAGAACTAACCCTTTTTTGAGAAATGGGTTGGTCATCAGAAGACAGGTCCAGTGCAAACCCACCCCCAACCCCCATTTGATGTGTTGAGAAACCAAATCTCAGAATGTTTTAACCTTAGCTTGATGAAAGTAAAACCAGAAAATGTACCATCGTTCTTTAAAATAAACTATGCTAATAAAGTAGTTGATCGTGTTCATTGAATACTGAATATTTTGTAAAAGCATGATTCCCTTTGGTTAAATGTAAGAAAAGGTCCGCGGCTATTTTTCTCACTTGTTTCCTTTAGCCTGACTTACCCTGGAAACACCTGCTTTGTACCTCAGATGGTGCCTCTTCAGCTAACTTGTTCTCCTTTGATCAAAGACACTCCCTTCACTGCTGGACAGTGAGATCCCGCAGATAGTTCCACAACCCAACTGAGGCTCCCCGGCTACAGACAAGAAACTTAGGCCCAGCGAGGACATGTGATGAAGGTGAACCTAGGATAGAGGTTTTACAGATGTTAAAAGGCAAAACTAAACTTTGCCTTATAGATTTCAAATTTTTCAACTAAAGAAAGACTTGCACTTTATATATGTATAGCTGAATGTAGAACCTGTTTGCAAAAGATAATTATTAGTCCACGGGGTAGCAGATGAAAAGCCAGTCTAGAGAAATTGAAAATACTCAACTCTAGACAGAAAGTATGTATATCATTGCGTTATTTCAACAGCCAGGTGAGCTTCCTTCTTACACAGTTTTCCAGAGTGGAAGTCAAAGAAACCACACAGCTCCCTCCCAGTTTCCAATAGCGTTTGCCAGCCATAGCCTAAATGACGTAGCAGTAGTTGCTTATGTGCTAGTTAGCAGGAGTCGTCTTTCCTAGTGAAGTTAAACTGATTAACTGCTCAGGTAGTGAACTCCTCCACTTTAGATATCCAGCCTCACAAAAGGATCTTTGCTTTTCAGATATTCTCCACTGCACAACGTCAAGTTGCCAGAGGCAGACGATGTCCAGTATCCGTCCATGCTTCTCCTCACAGCTGATCACGATGACCGTGTGGTCCCACTTCACTCCCTGAAGTTCATCGCCACCCTACAGTATACCGTGGGCCGTAGCCGGAAGCAAAGCAACCCCCTGCTTATCCATGTGGACACCAAGGCAGGTCACGGGGCGGGGAAGCCCACAGCCAAAGTGATAGAAGAAGTCTCAGATATGTTTGCATTCATAGCACGGTGCCTGAGTATTGACTGGATACAGTAAATGGACTTGACTGCTTCCTCCTGACTGCCACAGAAAACCTCAAGGGCTTTTCCACCATTATGACTGAGAAGCCATTTGGCGTATTGTACACCCATATGAGCATTATTCCTGCACTCACAGGCTACAGTTGAACAGAACTTCTGTGGGAATTTTATCTTTTTTAGGCTTCTCCTTTTTAGCAAGCCCTGGGAGTTTCTTTCCACCCTGTCCAAGTACATGTTTTTTCGGAAGGCATGTTTGGATAAGTAGCTAAGTGGCAGCCAACATGTTGTGAGTAGTAGATTACTGAATTCAGAGTCATAGTCGGGATACTTCATATATAACACCTCAGTGGAACTTGCTTCTATAACCCTAACCAATATATCTTTAAATAAAAGTGAAAACTCTACTCATAGAAAAGACTTCTTTGCAACAATAATAAATGTTATTTAAGAATGAGAGGCTTTATTTTGGGTTCCTTTATGTTGAGGGGCAACTCATCCTGGATCTTGTTGCTTTTCTGCAGGAACAAAGCATTCTGAATGTCTCTCTGTCTGCAGCAAGTTCTTTTCCAAGCGGTTGAGCCATAGAATGTAAGCACTGAAAAGAAGATGAGCTCACCCACCAACTGCCACGTATATGGGAGATGAACTGCTAGCAGTGACTGACTGCCCTCTATGTTAACTTCTCAGGGCACTTCCATTTGGATATTCTCCTTTCAGTGGGAACTGCACTGAAAATGTCAGGCTACTCTTCTGTCTTGCCTTTTTGTCTGTCTGTTAATTTGGTTACAGAGTATTCCTAGAAATCAGAGCTCTATGGATATAAGACTTAAAATCAGAGTAGTAAATTATCCAAACATAACTTTACCTAAGTTTACCTTACAGTCAGAGTCCTGGTGTGGCATTGTGGGTTAATGTGCTGGACTGCAAGGTCTGTGGTTCAAGCTCACCAGCCAGTCCTCAAAAACCCTATACAGGGTTGCTATGAATCAGAACAGACTCAATGGCCCTTATCAGCAACAACAAACCTTACAGTCACACATTTCAGCATTTTCCAGCTTATTTTCCCTCATAGACCATTTTCTGGAAATAGAAATTTTGTTGTTAGTGCGGTAGAGTTGGTTCCGGCCCATAGTGACCCTGTGTAGGGTATCCGAGTGAGCTTGAACCCCTGACCTTGTGGTTCAAACAACTTTGTAGTCCAGCACATTATCCACAGCGCCACACCAGGACTGCAGAAATAGAAATAGGCATACTTAAAAAAAAAAAGTTGTACGCGTTCGTGAATTTGGAAATCTAGAGAGTTCAGAGTCCAGGTGTGATGCTGTAGGATAAGCACTGGACTGCAAGGTCGGTTTGAATTGCAAGGTCAGCAGTTTAAATTCATCAGCTGCCTCTTGGAAACCCTATACAGGGTTTTTTCATGCGTCTTTAAAGAAGTATATGTTGTTACTGTAGTTAGATGCTATCAAGTCGGTTCCAACTCAGAGCCACCCTATGTACAACAGACTGAAAATCTGCCAAGTCCCGTGCCAGCCTCACAATCTTTGCCATGTTTGAGTCCATTGTTACAGCCACTGTGTCAATTCAGTAAGGATCTTCCTCTTTTCCACTGACCTTCTACAAAGTATGATGCCCTTTTCTAGGGGCTGGTCCCTCTGATAACATGAGACTAAGTCTTGCCATTCTCACTTCTGGGGAGTTTTTCTGGCTATACTTTTTTCAAAAGAAATTTGTTCATTCTTCTAGTTACAACTATCCACTACCATCAACTTGGTTCCAACTCACAGAAATACTCTAGGACATAGTAGAACTGCTCCCTACGGTTTCCAAGGCTGTAAATCTTTACTGGAGCAGAAAGTCTCATATTTCTCCTGGTTCTTGTAGCAGTACATGTTATATTCCATATTCCTTGCCAACACTGTAATTCAGATGCATTAATTATTTAGTTCTCCCTTATGCATTGTCCAGCTTTTGCATGCATATAAGACAATTGAAAATACTATGGCTGGAGTCAGGTGTACCCTAGTCCCCGTCAAGTCAACATCTTTCATTTTTAGCACTTTTACAGCAGATTTGCTCAGTGTAGTATGCCATTTGATTTCTGCTATTTCCAGGGGCACTGATTGTAGATCCAAGTAATATGAAATCCCTGATAACTTCAGTCTTCTCTCCATTTGTCATGACATTGCTTATTGGCTCTGTTGTGAGGATTTTTGTTTTCTTTACATTGAATTGCAATCCATACTTAAGGCTGTCATTGTAGTCTTTGCTCTTCATCAGTACTTGCTTTAAGCCCTCTTTGCTTTCAGCAAGCAAGGTTCTTGCAGGTTATTAGTTTTCCTCTAATCCTGATACTGCATTATTTATATAATAATTACATAATAACAATTACCATCTATTTTATGTAAAGAATTTTAGCTTCATATAAAATAGCTTAGTAGATGACTTCAGTGTTCCAATAACTTGTACTTTTCCAGAAAGGCCCTTCTATGTATAATAAGCTCTCTCTCTCTTGGTCTCCCAAATTATGGACCAAAATTAGACACAGCTTTTTCTATCAAGCATGTCACTGCAAGCCAAGCACAATAGAAAGGTTTGCTTTTTATCCTCTAGAATCATGCTTTCTACTACTGTTTGTTTAAAAAAGTGCTGTACTTGATGTGCTGTTATTGAACATTGAGTCACTGTATGTCCCCTAGAGAAAGAGGCTGCCGCTAGCTGGCAGTGCATTCAGAGACTGCTGTATCACCGTGGATCCAGAGAGATCCCAACACTAGCTAACTGCTGTACAACCATTGATTAGCTTGGCAGAGGGGAGAGAAAACAACAATAGAATGCATTTGCACAGTTAAGCCAAAGAATGCCTCTTTCCTAGTGCAGCTAGGTCATTGGGTGTGCTGACAGCTGAGTTGTCCCTACTAGCATATTCAAGGTTGTACAGAATTCAACCATGCTTTCCAGCTGAGGTCTCCTTCAGAACAGCAGAACGTAGAAGTCAAGTGTGCAGGGTCTGAGCTTCAGAAAGAGGCCAGTCAGGCGTAGGATCAAATCCCAACTCTGCCACTTATTAGTTGGTGATGATGAGGAATGAACAAGGTAGAAGGTATAACATAGAATTGGCCTCCAATTTTGAGTTCCCTTTCCCAAGCTAGCTTTCATATCTAGATTTTAGTGGGACAGCTGATTCCACCAACTAAAGGTCATCTTCTAAGCCTTAAACACTGGAAGTAAACCTTGAGGCTAGGGTCCTTCTCATCCCAATGATGATACAAGAAAAAGTATCAGGTGGTCTTTATCACAGGGCCTTGTTGAACATGCCGTAGAGCATTTGTTAACTTAGTAGCATAAAGTTAGTCACGTTAATCACATACAATATGCATAAACCTAGAATATTGTAAAACTTTGTAAATAATCATGTTTTATCATTATTCCCACTAAAGAAAGCCTAAGTGGAGTGCTGGTTTCCTAGGGCTTGCGTCTACTACTGCAAGTTAGGTGGCTTAGAAAAACAGAAATTTATTCTCTCAGTTCTGGAGACCAGAAGTCCAAACTAAAGGTGTCATCCAGGCCAGGTTGCTTCTGAAAGCTCTAGGGGAAAATCCTCCCTTACTCTCATTACTCTCACCTAGCTTCAGGTGGATTTGCTGTCATCTTCACATCTCCCTACCTCTGTTTCTCTGTGACCTGTCCCATCCTTTCTTCTCTTCTTCTTTTTTTTTTTAAAGATTTTTATTGTGGATTGAGTGAAAGTTTACAGGCAGATCATCTGTTTTACATTCAACAAATCATACACTTTGTTTCATTACCATGATTATAATTCCCTTCATGTACCATCAGTTAACAGTATTTCTCTCTATTCACTGTAGCTCTTTTAAAAAAAAAAGAACACTAGGGCATTATATAATAATTTACACCACCAAAGGGCACCTTCTGCAAGTCTGCCTCCAGGCCACCAGCTCTCAGTCCCTCTCTTCCCATGAATCTAGAGTCCTCAGCTGCTCCCTCTCTCCATGTCCCCATCTCTGGATAAGGTCTCGCATTCCGCTTTTGCTCTTCTCCCTTGATGATCCTAGGGTCCTTAGTTACTGGACTGTAAGATTAACTACTCCCCAGTTTTTGTTACAAAACTTCTGCCTTTACAATTGTGACGGTCGCAATTAGTCATGGTGACAATTACTCACTACTGAATCATAAGAATCTTGTCCCCATCTCTTTTAACCAGACCCATCTAGACAAGATGAAAACTATTCAGTGGGGACTCTTTCTTTTCCCCACACAGTCTTAAACTAAACTCCACCTTGAGACCTTGTAAGCCAGTCACTTCGTGCCTTTATTGCCCCCTCATTTTAAGTAGCCAATGTCTAAGTTGCCCATCCCGATCTCTCCTGTGTAGAGAGGGGATAACAGTGATAACTTGATGTGAAGACTCCTTCCCTCTCTGTTGGTATTTAGAGTTACTACCTCCATGAGTATAGGTCAAGTTCATCAAATTGTAGCAATTTATCCTCGTTTCCTTTATCAAACATTGTTTTTGTCCTTTTTTTTTTTTTTTATCTCTAGTCGAGTTCAAGCCATCGAGACTAGGTCAAATGGGTACTCTCTGAAACTTTAGGTGTTCTTCTGCGCCTCCTCTCAGTTCATATCAGCTGGATGCTTCACTCTCAGCTCTAGCCCTCTGTGGTTATGTCCTTGTCCATGGGCTCAGGTGTCCCCAGGTCTCACCACACTTTGTGGACCAACCAGCCCTTCCTCTTCTCTCTCTCATCTCCAGGTCAATGGGAGTTCATGGAACATGGTCCAACTCAGCCCATTGTTTCATTGCTGCCTTTCCCCCTCTTCCACTCACCAGTAAACCAGTGTGGTCGGCAGCAAGCTTACATGTCTGTTCATCTCGAGGTCCTGAATTTACTGCATTTGCAAAGGCCCCAAATAAGGCCATATTCTGCAGTTCCCAATGGACATGAATTTTAGGAGGACACAAATTCAACCTACTCTAGCCACTCACCCATAACTGGT